CATCACTTAGTTTCCCAACAAAACAATTCCAACAGTTGGTGTGATCACAGGCGGTAATTTTGCTTGAAGTAGTACCAAAAACAAAAACTTATCATTAAGTGTAAACTATTGAAATATAATTATAATTTATTTGATCTAATCCACAATGCTCGAACTTTCTACTGACATCAATGATATATTTATTCAAGTATTGGTTTGTAGGGATTTGGTTGATTGGTTACAGCTCACTGGCGACTGGCCATATTCAGGTAGGTAGTTACCTGGGGTTCCAGTGGGAAGTCGTGACCAGTAGGGTGCAACAGGTCGGGTGTGTGGACAAATACTAGCCGAAGACATTGGCTAGCGGTCGCGCTATATCGCGAATTGGCAGAAGTTAGAATTCATGGGCCATTGGATCGTGTCCCAATGGCTTAATGGTATGCGAGCTCGCCTTGTAACCAGAGGGTTCTGGGTTCGAACCCCACAGTGCGGGTGCGTACTGATGAAGAGTCCCAAACTAGGACGAAACAGCTGTCCAGTACTCCCAGGTTTTCCAATGGTTCTCTAATCAATGTCAGTTCATGATGAAATCCTGTAACCGATATATTTATTATTGGATAACACAATGGTACAAAAATCCAGATGTTAAGAGCTACCAGGTAACTTGCCGTGCATACGATTCCACGGTCTGTTTTGAATAAAAAGAATCTCTGATTCAAACAATACAATATATTTAGGTAATCAGTCCTGTTTTAGTGATCAGCATAGATAACTCATTGTAGTATATCACTGTCCAGGGATATTGTTGTCTAAAGGGATCACTTTTATACCGGGATAGTCATTTTTGATCTCCGATATTTCTCGTACTAGCTTGAGAATAAGCGATGAGTGTTTCACACAGTTAACTAAAACGGAAAATATGGGTGTATTCGCTTTGTTTACTTCATTTTCAAATTTCATTTTACCTATTATGAGTGACTGTATTAGCCTTTTCAATGTTCTTACAATGGCAGTGACACACAACCTCAGCATTAGCTTTTACTTAATTACAGTAGGTTTCATTGATTCTGTGCAAATGTATTTATCCATTTGACTATATATACAAACAACATATTACTTTCACTTTGCTCTTTAATCTTCTGTTTTGTTCCTCAATATTTGACAGTAGTAGATAAACGGTAGTAGCCATACTAGGGTTAAAGTCAGGGCTGTTACAGGGCTAGTCAAGGCGCGACCAACCTCTTGTGTAACTCAGTTTCATACATTAACTAGTCACTAGGGTGTAATGAATGTTATATCGTTTAGACCTTCTGGCTGTCAAGTTTTGCAATTCGGTCATGATAGTGTTTGTTGAGTGAGAAATTACAAAAATGAGATGAGATATACGTAAAATATTACTTTTAAATAATAAATACTAATAGATGTTAGGGAGTTGAAGGCGATCGGCAGGAAGCCTTGGACCTAGGTTTCGTGCTAGTTGGCACTCACCAGTCAGAAAGGCATATCTGCAACCTTGAAGGAACTCATGTCCCACCCCTCTGAGGTTCGAACCCGCGTCACCCAGTGCTGCAGTCAGAGACGTTACCACTGAGCTATTCAGGCTCGTGACTGACCTCCTGTAGGATTATACTGGATACATTCATCGGATACTAGTAACTAACATCTAACCATCTAACATCAACAATTCAAAGTGAACTGTGATGGCGAGCTACCTAGAATGGTGGCCACATTGCAAACCTGACTGGCAGAATTCAGTCTGCACTAAAGAAAGGACTAGACACATCACACTAGTTACCAGTGTCCAATGAAAATACTAATAGACTATAATAGTAATTTTATGTGTGGTTGTATGCATTCAGTTGGCTGGTTTCCCTTTCTGATATTTTTATTGATACAGCAAGTACTTGTGTGAGTTTTAAATATATAAGCTAATAAACATTCCCAATTCAAGCTGATTTTAAAGTGAAATGAGATTAATTTTAACTTTTGACGTAATTTCTGGCGTTTGAAACTACGGGCACTGGGTTCGAGCTTCGGTGGGGAATGCAGGCACATCCAGATGACGAGTCCCAAATAGGACGGAATGCACGTTATCCTGGATTCCACTGCTAGTCACCATCCAACAATTAAATTCTAAATGATGTAAATAACCTAAAAATAATAAATTTATGAAACTTCCAATTTTTCATCACAGGTGTGCTTGGTTGCATGCATCTCTAGTGGCTACAATAATCCTCATACACAAACTATTCCTCTGAAATCGAATTACGACACGTTGAAGTACAGTTGACGTAGATTTCCTAAGAACTTTTTTAAAAATGCTCTCCAAGTTATCAGTTCCATTGTAAAACATTCTGAAACCAAGTTATTCCGGACACGACGGTAGATTAACTGTATTTTCTGTCTGTGTGCATGGTCATGATGATGAGAATCCACCTTCTGAATTTTGGTTCCCAGTGCACTTAGACATACATACAGGTAATAACCCACAATTTCACCTCTCAGAATTTTCACGTATGACTAAAAAGATGTAATGCATCAATGGAATTATAACACTAAAGCTGAAAATACTGAATCCAATGCGTTATCTGGTCAAAATATAATATTTGATCACCTATAAAATTAGTTTTAGGCCATGTTTTCTACGCCATGAGAGACAGCAGGACATAAGATTGCACAAATACATTTGGTACTGACCATATCCCCTATAAGAATAATATTTTCAAATCTTTCCACTTACCATGTTTAACTAATCTGCCCCCTAGCTGCCTCATATTGGATGAGGTTGTAAACATTTCTAAATCTAAAGGAATTCACGTGTCTCATTTATTTAGGCGTGCGTCGGTGGTATAGCGGTTAGGACACTCGCCGACCATGCACATGGTCAGGGGTTCGATCCCCGGTCGACGCACTCCTTTACCTCGCTAAGCCAGAAATAATGCTGGTGAAGGGGAAAGGTTGGGCATGAGGCTAGCAACCCCATCCTGTAAAATAAACACTGCTACAGAAACTTCAAGCCATTAGCTTGAAGCCCTATGTTCCACTGGGGAACGTGAAGGAAAAATATATATATAAATAATATTTATTTAGGCAGTACCGTTTCAACTGCATTTGGTACAGATTACGATCTTAAATCCACTATAGGAAAGCGAGAAAGACCTTCATTAGTGTGAAGTCAGTGGGTATTTCTGCTAGACTCAACATATGGAACAAGGTCCGATTCTTTAACACCAATGTCAAATCAGTGCTTCTATACAGTTCACAGATTTGGGGCAATTGCCGCGAATAGTAATTCCAACAGGTAGCTGCCTTCATTCCATAGTGACATTCAGAATATTATTATTTATTAATTCCTAGAGGAACATAGGGCTTCAGCCATGCGTCTCCAATGCGTTCGGCTCTCTGTTAGAGTCTTCACCTGGCTCCAAGTCTGCCCACATGCTTTCATCTCCTCTTCACACGATCTCCTCCAAGTCACCCTTGCACTGACGACCAACTCGCCGCTTCCCTTTCGGGTTCCATTCGAGCAATGGCTTGTCTAGTGATGTCACTTGATGGTTTCCTCAGAGTTTGTTTGAAATGCTCTTTATGATGCGCAGTGCAAGACTCTGATCCGTATAGTAGCACTGACTTCACATTGGAGTTGAAATTCCGGATCTTATTCTGATTTTGATGCTGAGTGCTGTTGACCTCCACACAGACTTGAGAGTAATGAAACCTTGTCTTGCTTTTCCGATTCTCGCTTTGATATCCTCATCAGTTCCGTCCGCCTGTAGTTGAAACGATGCTTCCCAGGTAGGTAGGTAGGTGAAGGAGGTTGTTTCTTTCAGGTTCCTCCCATTTATGCTGATTGTTGTCTATTGTTGTTGTTGCTGTTGGTGGTGCTTTTGCCCAGGAATCTTCATCACCTCTGTTTTCTCTATGTTCACATGAAAACTTTCCTATCTTTGATGCTTGTTCTGCCAACTTGTTGCTTTTCGCTTGCATATCTTCCAGTTTGTGGGAAATCAGACATATATCGTCGGCGAAGTCCAGATCCTCCAAGTTTACTAGAAGGTTTACTAGAAATGAGTGGGAACAAAGAACTCTGGCAGGACAATGAACCAACCGAAAACCTACCACACAATAAATATGCAGAAGGAAGTAGAGATGGATTGAATGTACTCTGAGAAGACCGCTGAGTGACAAGTTATATCAGGTCGTCAAGTGGAGTGTGAATGGGGAACGACGAGTTAGGCATCCAAGTGTGACATTGAGAACATCATTTTAAAGGGAAATGAAAGCTTATGGCTGATTGTGTAACCCGCTTAGAAGGACTGCAGAAGACAGAGTGAAATGAAAATGTGCTGCTTAAGCACTATGTTCCACTAAAAGCCTGACGAAATAATGACATAGTAATAACATTCATATTCTGGAGTCAGTATTCTTTGAGCTTCTGAAGACATTCTCAGAATATATTCGTATACATAACGAAGCAGAAATTGTATTTAGTAATAAGGCGTGTCACTCACTCAGAAATCGTATAAAGCAGTCTTACCGATAACATCTGTGGAATATTTCATTCAATTCTAATTGATGTACTACCCAATAGTTAGACGTTGCCAACCAGCAAGTTTGTTTGTTTATTCGTATCCTTTTTATATGTTTTGTTATGGAAGTTTTATTTTCATTATGCGACTTTCATAGACACTTCTATCCAATGCGTTTAGTATAACTTAATGTACATTTCAGTTGTGTCTCAAGTAACTTTATTGATTCAACTGCCTAAATCTCAAATGTGAAAATACTTATACCCAGCTGAAATACCTATTTCACTTTTGCTATATCACCTACTTCTTGTCTACAGGTGTAGGTTGTATATGGGTAATTTTAAAAAACCTACAATCTCATTGAGTTTTTAACGTGTGGTAAGGGATGATGTATTGTTCTAAGCCAAGAAGGCTGATTAAGTAATATTTATAGACGCTATTGTTATGAATATAAAGGAAACAGTATTCCATTGATAACCGAAAAGAATGGAGTGATGCGGTCACACAAAAACATTATATTATAAATAATGAGGTTGTCACCATAGCGTTAAACATTTGAGAAAGAACAATATAGCACTTCTACTTGAGGTAAATCAGAAATTAGTTGCATTACAGAAAAAGAAAAATGAGAAATGAATTTTTAAACAATGACAATTTAAATCTGTATTTTGCAAACATCTTATAGACAATGAAAGCTGCCTCTTTCCTTCTTTGGAAATAAAACACAAAGAAGTTTAAAGTGAGATAACAAGACATCCTTATATGGAATCAACGTCAGTATTCTCCGTCACTGTCTCCGGGCTACATTTATCTTCATCAGCCTCTTCACTGTTGTCTTCACTGGATGAAGTGAAGTCACGCTTTTTAAGATTCCTGATTTTTTGAGGAGCTTTGTTATTAAGTGTGATTGGATGATATGAGTCAGGGTGTTTATTTTTGAGTCCATGATATGCAATTTTTGTTTTGTTAAATAGATGATACGATGCATTCGAGTGATTATGATGCCCCGAATAATAAGCAGAGCTATTCATGGTGTGGTTTAATTTATTCACTTTTATATTTGTCACATTTTTGTCATATATGGATAGATTTGAATTTATCACTCTGGTTCCACTCACATTTACTGGTGTAAAATTAGTAATATTTGACACATTATATAAAGTCTGTGAGTTGTTTATTCCTGGGTGTATTGAAGAATGATTTTCACTGTGTGGAAAGTGACCCACCGTTTCTGTAGTTGTCACAAACATTACAAATGATGAATTTGACCCATTTGTTGTTATGTTATTTGTGAAAGTTTCATTTATAGATGAATCAGTTATATTCCATTCACTAGAGTTGAAGTAATCTGTGAAGTTGTTTGCAACACTTTCATTCCCTAAATAACAATAGAAAACAGTGTAAGTAGTTAGATTGTATGACTGGATCAGTGACCTCACAAACTTAGACGTTATAATAATAATAATCTACTTTATTCCAAAAACAGTACTTATAACACAGAATGGAATTCTCAGCATTTGTCACAATATTCCATCTGATTTACTCAAAATGGAAATAAAATTAAAAATTAAAACAAAATTAACCGGAGGAATTTGTCCACATTTACGACATAAAGTCAAAAATATTCGAAGTATGAACTGAGAATATTAAATATAATAATAGCAATAATAATAATAACAGTGAGTTTGTTTCAAACGGTATTGTCGATTCAGTTTGGAAACTTTAGCATGTTATAGATTATTGGATTTAATGTTCTGTTGATATAGTATAGTGAGGGGAAAGACAAAATTAACAGTTATAATACAGCTTAAATTATGTCCACACTTATGAGAAAAAATAAACAAAACAAAAAAATTGAGAGGATTATAAATATAAGAAATACAATAACAATAAAGTTTGATGTTGTAAGGGTGGGGGAAATGGTTTATTTGGTAGTGCAAAGAAGGTTAGTTGGTTCATGCCTGACACTATTTTCATCGCATAAAGTACGTGCCAAATATGGTATAGTGCAATTTTCATACTTAGACGTGCGTGCATAAATTCTTCTGAAAAGACTTCTTGTTTTATCTGAGGAGACACAAGGTTGGAGCTGCGGGTAGAGTGGGTGCTCACAGTCTGACAAAATTCCTTTAGTGAATTTGTTGCCTGACATCAAGTGCCTGTCAGTGACAATGTTGGCGATATGGCTCAATGGGATACCACTCACCCCATTGACTGACAGTCTTCAGAGTTCTACGAAGTATGACATAGTCTTCTTTAAGCAATCCAGGAAAGAATAAGGATGAACAGTAAAGAAGAATAGGTTATCAAAAAAAGAAAAATAAGGGGTAATAATTCCTTCTCGAATTGTACATAGCTTATCAAAAATGCCTCCATCCGAATATTGGGATAAATTTGCTATCCACTGTACAACTTGCCTTCCTTTGCAAACAATCGGTAATTGGTAATAAACCCATTATTTTGATACGGAAAAATTAGACAGTGTTTATTGATTTACCACGCGTTTACTTTAGTGAAGATGTCTCCTGTTTAGTTCTGCAAGGAATGAAATAATAAAAGTAATATTCTGACTACAATGCACAATGAATATCCACTTTTTATTTAATAAGGAACTATATAGACAAATTGAAGGTGTGGCAATGAGGTCACCACTAGAATCCATTCTAGCCGACATTTTCCTTGCGAAACTAGAAAATGGGCCTTTTAAGGATGTTATCAATGAACTCTAATTCTATTGTCGGTACATGGATGATACATTTTTGATTATGAAAAATGAGAAGGTAGTAAAAAACATCCTGGATAAATTTAACGAGGTTCATCCTGCAATAAATTTTACTATTGAGAAAGAAAAAGACTAGTATTTCATTTCTAGATGTCCTTATGACCAGAAAAGAAGATGGCGCAATAAGAAGAAGTGTATACAGAAAACCTACATCAACAGCTCACTATACTCATTTTCTCAGCTTCGTGCCCTTGAAATACAAACGCAATGTGATAAAGTGCTTGGTTCACAGAGCAAGAGCAATTTGCTCGAATGAATGTCTTGATGAGGAACTTAATAACATTAAACGGTTGCTGTATGAAAATGGCTATCCAGAAAAGTTAATTCATACGAATATGAATCTAAAATCAAAGCAGCTCAAGGTACCAACAGTTCCAAAAAAGGCCTTATTCTTACAAATGCAATTCCTTGAAAACAACATCAGCGAGATACTAACACAACGCTTTAGAAATGCAGTAAAAAGAGCATTCCCTGCTGCCGAATTACGCTGTGTCTTCAAAACCACACCTCTTTTGAGTTAGGCAATAAAACACAAACTGCCTAATTTCGCCTCTTCCATGTGTATCTACAAACCTAACTGCTCCTGTGGAATGAGCCAGTTACATAGGCCATACAATTAGGCGTGTGTCTCGTCGGATTTCCGAACATCACCCTGCTTAGTGGTGGTTAAGCAAGGGACAAACTAAATCTATTCGAAGCGCTATTCTATCTCATCTCGTGGATGCAGAACACAAGATTGCTGTTAACCATGCTTTTGAAGTCATTTACCGCATACCAACAAATCTTAACTCAACCGTAAGAGTTCGATTACTAAATATTGCTGAGGCTGACTGTTGGGATCCATATTAACAAGCCTAATTTGTGCATCCATAAGAAGTTAGTTCAGACATTATCAGTACCCCGCTGGCCATCTAGGTTTGAATGATCCTGAATTTTTATAGAAATCTCCCTAATTTTAGTTGATATTCTATTTGCTACTATATCTTTATTATTATTATTGTTATTATAATTTAAGCATCTTTAATGAACTGTAATTACACTGTGATCTTACTTTACAAATCGATATTATTTAAAAAAAAACTAATATTGGTATTGACGACTATTCTAGTATATTCTGTATACATAAACATATATATATACATAATTGTAGAGCCAGAAGAGGAAGTTATCGAAAAGTATATTCTTTGCTCAATTATTTTGTGTTTTATAGATGTCTGAATGAATATTTTTGCTATACAATTTTTTTCTCACTAATATTCTTTTCTCAAAGTAAAGCTTTTAATGATAAACTTAGTTGTTTCCAGTTCTGTTTTGAAAGTGTTTACCTTCCTGAAGATCGTGACTAAAACCTCACGGAGAGCTTTGCAGAGGATTTAATTGATTCAGATGGAAAGTCAATTTTAAAAAATAAATTCATCTCACAAGCTCAAATAACATACTCCAGAATCTATAAGCAATAAAACTAACCTGGCTGTAGTGTATTTATTGTAACAGCAACTATACAGCTAATCAGACAAAACATGTGTATTATTTTCCATCTGAATCCGTCCATCAGTAGTATATTCAGTAGCTGAAATAAAAAAATAATAAGGATAATTTCATCAGACGTGGTACAAATTAATACGTAAAAGTAGTCAATATATATAAGTAGTAAAGAAAATTTCAGAAATGCAATGAATGAAGTGAATATTTCCAACAGATTGCAGACCTTTATCAAGAGCTGTCTTCGTTCTATCTATACTCAAGATCAGATGGCCGGAAAGAACAAGAACTAACAGGAAACTATGGGAACAAACAAAACAAGAACCAATCGCTCAACAAATATGCAGGAGAAAGTGGAGATGGATTGGACACTCACTGAGGAGGCCACTGGGTGACATCGCGCGTCAGGCCATCGCTCGAGTGGAACTCGAAAGGGAAGCGGCGAGTGGGACGTCCAAGGGTGACATGGAGGAGATCGTGTTAAGAAGAGTTGAAATAGTATGTACTAACATGGATGCAGGTGAAAAGTACAGCAGAAGACAGAAGCAAGTGGAGACGTGTAGTTGAAGCCCTATGTTCCACTAGGAACCCAATGGAACAATAATAATAATAATCGTGAAGTGAATTTCCTCAAATGCAACTGCATCATTATTCGAAAAAAGAAAAGGACACTTAAGTGATGAACGGAAGTCAAAGACAACTTTTTTCACATAATATTTGAATGAAACTAATAAAAATTTCACGGAAAATTGACATCAGTTAGTTAGTGATAAAGACATGTTTCATCTTACCCTATAACCTTTTTTTAATTCACATGATTCGGTTTACCTGTGCCGCTGGTAACCCATTTATAATATGAATTTATCCACCCATGAAACATATTCAAGCTGTTACAAGTCTAAACCTTTTATTAATTCCAATAACATCTTTGCTTCTAAAAGTTTGTAGTAAGAGTACAAAATGTCTTGCCTATAATATTATAATGATTTTCTTATTTTCTATACTTCCTTTCTTATCACGGAACACTTACCAGCATGGTTCTACAAAGGAGAAAAACGATGCCCCCGCAGCTCTAATTTTGAACATCGGATACATTCTGGTGATCAAGCTACACCTCAAAACAAACTTCACAGTCATCTACCAAATACGAAGCAGTCTTCCTAAAAGTGTACGAATCAGACTTCTTCAAACTGCAGAAGCAATGGCAATTCACTTGCTAAGTCCTGAACTCTACATACAGAAGAAGTTCGTTCAATCACTACACTTGCAATGGACGTAATCTATCTTAATACCCAACAGGTAAATCCTATTTCTTTCTGTCTATTCATTAGTATTATTTTGTCTTTTCAGTTGTAATATTTTACATTTTCAAACTTCCTGTTCTCTACCCTCACCTGATTTAATTTCTACACCTCATTACCACTGTTACTGGCTCGACCAATGCTCAATTTCTAGTCATTTATGTTAAGTCATCCAATTTATTTGCTCAATTTCAGTTCTGATTTAAATGGCATTATTCTCTACCCCACCTCTATTTAGCCTCTACCTGTGATTACCTCTGTTGTTATTTTGACCTAAGTTGAAACATTTTAGTCAATTATATTACGTCATCTAACTTACTAACTCAATCCTCGCTGAACGCCTTCTCTTTTTCATATGACTCAATAGGGATTTTTAAGCTTCCTTTTCTGGACAAATTCTGGGTAATACCTGCTGACAACCGAATACTGTACAGTGGATCCCAATTTGTTTTATAGGGTCCTATCGAAGAAGGACATCTTATTTGTGATAAGGTGTTCTGATAAATTCGGTCTAACATAGTTCATACGATGTAAGAATTGTAAAGTGGGTATTCAACAATAGAGTGAGCACAGTTATATCTTTGAGTTCACTCTAATCATGCTCTCAGTCTTTTTTACTACTATATTTATCACTTTTATTTATAAAACCCGATGAACGTTATTGCTGTTTCAAATTTCATATATTCCATTTATCTTACATCATTATATGTATCTCGTTTTGATTACAAATAAATGTATTTGTGTAAATATTTGTATATTAAATAGTCTGATGGCGTGCTTAAACCACTGGGTTACCTAAATTTCTATCCAGTATAATGTATTAACTCTCTCCTTATTTCTTATTGTTTCAATCATATAACTATGTTTTTTAGATAGCTGCATGAACTCACTCACAATTTTTGGTTTACTGTCGACGTATTGCAGATCACTTCTCAAAGAAGATGATGAACTGGACATTGCTTCAAATGGAACGAAACAGCGTCACACGATGTACTTTTTAAATACTATCCTTTATGAATAGTAGACATTGTGTATTTCAAATACACTGAAAAGTGTGTACTATATGCTGACATACTGTTTAAAATAAATTTGCTGTTATTGTTATCAATTATTGTATTTTATTTTCATTTTTGAAAATCCTCTGGATAGCTTAATGCAATTCTTTCTTCTTCTTTTCTTTTTTTCCCTTCACGTTCCCCAGTGGAACATAGGGCTTCAAGCTAGTGGCTTGAAGTTTCTGTAGCAGTGTTTATTTTACAGGATAGGGTTGCTAGCCTCATACCCAACCTTTCCTTTTAACCAGCATTATTTCTGGCTTAGCGAGGTGAAGGAGTGCGTCGGCCGGGGATCGAACCCCGGACCATGTGCATGATCGACGCGCGTCCTAACCGCTACGCTACCGACGCACTTGATGCAATTCACAATAAGCCTATGGCAGAGAATGACATTATATCACTTTGTAAATAGTCTTTGTTTTCTCAACAGAATATATTTCTTCTACTTTTTCTACCTGTGGAAGTAAACAGTATGTTTATGTTTTCTAATCTTGTTTATGCTGACATATACTTAGATAATACCATCAATTATGAGTTGAAACAGAACAAAGTGGAATAAATCTAGTAACTAAGTTTGAAATTTTGAGCCACCTCGTAAATTGAAATGATACAGATATTATCTGGACGATGATGATGACTGGCAGTGGAATCCAAGACAAGTCCGCCTCATGCAATTTGAGACATTCTGTCTCTTTAGCTAATGAGACACAACAGTTACCTTGTGCGAAAAGTTATCAGTTGTAATTTGCTTAATTATATTTTTTTCAATTTTGTTGTTGCCTGACTTCATTGGACAGAAGTGTCTGATCTGCATTGAATTGTAAGGATCATTAGGCCCTACACTGGTAGACACCATGTCAATACAGACCAAGTATTTAAATCCCCAGGGGAATCGAACAACAGGAAGTTCAAAAATTTCTACGAAGAGGATATCATCTGACACAACTGGCATGAAATGTAAGGTGGATTAGGTTGGCAGAAAAGCATGTCTTCACCTAACCAGTTTGACAGTGACCCATCAACAAAACGTATTTAAAATCCTAAGAAAATTCGTGTTTCTCTTGAGAAATACTAATTTATTTTAATTAAAAATTTAATTCGAAATTGATTGAGGCTTTTTGCAGGAGGGGATGTTTATGCCTTGGAAGGTAGTCTAGTTTTCTTATAGAGATAGACGTGGAAGTGAAGACACTTCAGTCTTTGTTGAAAATTGAATTATTGTAGATGTGTAAAGTAGCTTTTTATTCACTTTGTTATATAAGGTGGATATTTTTTTCAGGTTCAATAAAATGCTGACGTAAATAGCTGGCTTCATGGACAAAATATAAGTAGTATAGTAATTTCTCCCAGTATTATTACTATTGTTCCCATGGGTTCCTAATGGAACAAAGGGCTTCAACTGCACGTCTCCACTTGCTTCTGTCTTCTGCTGTACTTTTGATCTACATCCATATCAGTCCATACTGTTTCAACTCTTCTTCACACCATCTCCTCCATGTCACCCTCGGACGTCCCACTCGCCGTTTCCCTTTCGGGTTCCACTCGAGCGATGGCCTGACGCGCGATGTCACCCAGTGGCCTCCTCAGTGAGTGTCCAATCCATCTCCACTTTCTCCTGCATATTTGTTGAGCGATTGGTTCTTGTTTTGTTTGTTCCCATAGTTTCTTGTTGGTGATTCTTTCCGGCCATCTGATCTTCAGTACAGAGCGAAGACAGTTGATGATAAAGGATTTCTCCCAGTAAATCCCTTCAATACTTAAATCTAATTGAAAGTGAAACTGTCTAAAATAGCTTTTGGGTTATCAGATTGTTTGGCGTTCTAGAGCAGCTGGTAAAGTCTTTGACTAAGTAATTCAAAGGAATCTGCTTTGAACTCTGACGCTATTCAGATTTTCATTTCAGTTATAGAACTGTCTTCGCTCAATAATGAAGATTAGATAGTCGACAGAAGGAAATAGATATGCGTCAGGTATACTCTGACGAGAAATTCAAGTAATATCAAACAACAGGCTTTTCAGTGAGACAGAAATGGTGACGATGAGTTGGACGTTTGTATGTGAGGTAGGGAAGGTCATGTGAAGTGGAAATGAAAGCTTGTCGGCAATTATTAAGTCAGCTGATATTAATTACAGGAAGTAGAGTATATATATATATTCAAGTATTGGTTTTGTAAGGATTTTGTTTGATTGAATGGAGGATTTCATCATGAGCTGACATCAGTTAGAGAACCACTGGAAAACCTGGGAGTACTGGACAGCTGTCTCGTCCTAGTTTGAGACTCTTCGGTTCTCTAACTAATACATATATATATATATATAAATTTCTGGCAGCAGTCAAATATTTAACTATCACTCCTTGATTATATAATAGTTATCAAAGTAATCATGAAATTACTCGCTTGATAACTGTAATTTAATTATCACATTTAGTTGGGTTTTTCTGAAACCAGAAAAATTCAACTGCTAGAATCCCTCAACTTAGTGCTACTTCTTTTTTTGTTAACTTGATTCTTTATATTATAAGCACTAAACTGTTTAAGATTCTCATATTCTTCAAGTGTAGAACTGAAATCGTGTGGTCCTTCTTTGATAAAAAAATAATAATAATAATGCTAATATACACAGAGTTTTGCGTTTCTGTTAATGCGATGAGTGAATTCACTTCAGAAAGTCAATCATTCTATACCTTATTAATTGACATTCCAGTATAGTTTATATGAAAAAAGCTTGAA